TCATCCCTGCAGATAGGGATGGGAGTGGGGTGGAACTTGAGGGACACCTTCCACTATCCCAGTTTGCTCCAAGCCCCATCCAGCCTGGCCTTGAACTCTTCCAGGGATGTGGCATCCACAGCTTCTTTATATCTTTCCATATCATTTAGCACTTAGGGAATTGGATGCCTAAGGTTTTTGTAGCAGTGCAAATCTGACTAAATATCCCCTATTCCTCAAATTCCTGGGATATGCTATGTTTCTCCTGATTCACGAGGACCCCAGGTAAACAAGGCTGAGGAATTTATCAGAAGAAATGAACCCAGCTCGTGAATGGCACCACAACAACATTTTTGCAGATCCTCATGAACGCTGAATGGATCTCAGCTCCACCTCCCAACCTGCAGGATTTTAACCCCAAAGAAACTGAACTGAAATTGTTTGACTTTTGAGGGGCTTTTAGTTGTTGAATGGAGTTTTCAAAATGGTAGCCTGCAGAAAACTTGGAGTGTTCAGAGACTGCATTTACCTCACCAAAGGAGATATTTTTGGGGAGGACTTCCCATCCAGTTCTGAAGCTCATTTATTTAGAGACAAGCCTATATAAAGATGTTAGGGATGCAGCTCAGCTAAATTAACTGCAGAACTTGATCTCTTGAATATTTGTCTTTAATAGAAACAGAGCCATGAACAGACTCCGTGGTTATTTACATTTTGGACAACTCCCTGCTCTTGTTTTGTGGACACCATCATTGTTCCTGTATGCCCAGGGAATGATTTCTTTAGAAGCCTCTCAATCTGATGACCTCCATGAAATAATCAATTGAGGTGGCAGAATCACACAGAATCACAGAACCTTTTACCTTGGAAAATGACTCCCAGGCCATCGAGTCCAAGCTGTGCCTGATCCCCACCTTGTCACCCAGCCCAGAGCACTGGGTGCCACATCCAGGCCTTCCTTGGACACCTCCAGGGATGGACTCTACCACTGCCTGGGCATGGTCCTGTAGCTACACTATTGCTGATACAAGCCAGGTGCCATTGGCTTCTTGGCTCACGTTCAGCCATCAGGAGCCAAATCCATGTCTTACAAGCCCTCTCCTCACTGTTGGGGCACAGGGTGGGGGGCACCACACAGACACCCACCAGTGTGGTCCAGGCTGTTCTCCTTCCCCCTCCTCCACCTCTCCCCAAATTCCCCTGCCATGACATTCCTGCAGTTATTTCCACTCCTGTAAATCACCCCAGCCCTGCGAGGTGATGCTGTTAATTATGTCATGCACAGACAAATTTACAGTGTGGAGCAACAGTAAAAAATAATCCTGCTTGAAATGATGGGAGATCTACATTCCATGGGCTCTCCGTAAATCACAGCCAGCTCCGTGTGCCGGGCTGATGGGCTCTTCCCACCCACTGGCAGAGCTGGTGGATATTGGTGCTGACAGCCCCGAAGAAGGGAGTGTGGAACAATAACCTGCATCGGTCCAAGTGGGTGAAAAAAAGTCTATTTTAGGAGTACAAGTGATGAGTACCTGATTTTCTATGTGGTGGCACCATAGTTTCTGGTGAAGTTAATTTATATTCTTGTAGCACCTGAAAACCTGACTTTTCCAGGAGGAAATCTGCCCAAAATGTGTTGGCTGCCCAAAATTTGAACTTCTGCACTTCAGGTAGAAAAGCAAGAGCACAATTTCCAGATGCCCAGTAGTTGTGCTACCCTTGTCTCCAATGAAGGAAATCCGAGTTCAGGTGCCCAGCAGCTTCAAGACACTCAGTGTGGCCTCGCACATTGAAATTTGGGAACATCTTCAGCCCTTTCTGTGAAAATGTTCTGCAGCAAATCTGAGCTGGGTGCCAGGGAAGGAAAGCCAACACCTCATCAATCATGAATTTAAACAGCCAATTAGTGAAATGCCCGCTTTGGCACGCAGTCATTTTCCCACTTCCTGGCTTCCAAGGCTTTTCCTGTGTAGATCCATGGAGCAACCACCTCACAAGGCCACCCACTTGCTCACTGCATGGTGTCCCTGTGTCTGGACATCCATCCAGGTGCCTCCATCTCCCCATCAGGTCCAAAATTTATGGCAGTTCCCCTCCTGGCTCTATTCAGTGCAGTCCAATGTTTTTCTTGGAAGAGGGAAGCACATCTGTGACACCTGCAGGCAGCACACACCAGTGGATTAAAGACATCAGCGATCAGTCAAAGGAAAACTGTTTCAAACTGCACCAAGGAGGTTCAGGATGAATTTTAGGAAACATTCCTTCACGGGAAGAGTGGCTGAGCATTGGAACTGCCCAGGGAAGTGGTGAAGTCACCATACCTGGAAGTGTCCAAGGAAATGAATGGACGTGACACTCAGTGGGATGGTTTAGTGGGAATGGTGGTGTTTGGCCAAAGGCTGGACTTGATGTCTTGAAGGTCTTTTCCAGCCTTAATGATTCACTGGGACATTTTGTACATGGAAACCTCTGGCACAAGGGGGCTCCCATGGCTTCCCCAAGGCAGGACAAGTTTGGAGAGTGGTCACAGCCCTTGATAAAAGTTGCCCTGACAACCCCAGGACATCCAGGGAAATGCCCGGAGCCAAGGTGGGAGGACCTGGAATGTCCCAAGTCCTCATGTACACCTCATCTCTCTGCTTTGCCAGGGCATGGTGCCCCCAAAATTGGAGCTTCCTGACATCAGGGGCCACGGTGGGCTCGTGTGACTGTCCCCTTTCTCGTGCTGCTGAGGAGACAGCCCCAGCTAAAATCTCCCTGCTTTAACGCCTCAGGGCTTTTTAGTTTTTGACACTGCATGTGGAAGGCAGCTGTCAATTAGCAGCTGAAAAAACAGCCTGCGGTGCTAATGAGAGCAACTCTAACAGAGACCTTTTCCAAATCGTTCCCATCCATTTTTCAGGGTTTTTAATTGCTGTCATATTACGAGGAGGATGGCAGATGGAAAACACAGGGGGAAAAGCCCCATTCGGAGGTAGATTCCTCTCTGCCAGGGCTGACTCAGTGGCAGCTTTCTTCCCAGGATTTTATTCACAGAAGTTGCTGGTCCTGGCCAGTTCCTGTAACCCTTCTGCCCCCAGGATTGGGATGTTCTGTCAGCTGCCACAGCTGGATGGAGGGCTGGGGTCAGATGCTGTCTCCCATCCATCCTCAGAGCTAGATTCTGACTTTTTTTAATATATATAAAATATAATATAGGAATATAGTAAAAAAATAAAAAGTATTATGTACTGAAAAAGCAGTGGTAAAATGCTTAATATTTCTAAATTCTCTACCAAAGAAAAGGCTTCCTAATTGTTGTGTTGGTATGGGCAGTGCTGGAGCCTCATCACATGAGGCAGCAGGAAGTGAGAGGAAAACAAGGGAATGAATGAACAGATTGGACAGGGCTTGGAGCAATCTGGGATCATGAGAAGCATCCCTGTCCATGGCAGGGGGTGGGAATGAGACGGTCTTTAATGTCCTTTCAAACACCAACCAATCTGGGATTTTGTGAAATACAATAAAATCTTGGAGCAAAAGGTAAATTTTGCGAGAGGGTTAAGGGTGAGCTGGCCCAGCATTCCCCAAAGCACATTACAAATGACCTGGAAGGGCTGGGATGGCAACCCTGGCACCAGGAGCTTCCTGCTGCCTGCGGCTGATAAGGAAACCCCAGGCAAACAAATTGATGTCCTTGTCAGGAGTTCAACGACCCTGCGAGGTCCCAGCCGCCCCAGGGTCATTCATCTGCGAGCTCCGGGCGATGCTGCAGCCACCAAAGGGCTGTCCCAGGGTGGGGAGAGCTTTGCTCCCTGCACATCATTCCTGGAGAAGGGAGGGGATGCTGCTTCCCGATGCGCTGGGATCAAGTCACACCAATTAAATCCCCAGGCGTGGTTTTAACCCCCGGGCTGGTGCCAGGGGGTGAAATCCCCCCCGGGAGGGTGCTGCCGTGAGTGCCCCCTTCCCAGGGATTGGGGTGAATCCATAGGTGGCTGTGCTGGGATTGTGCTGGGATGTGGGTGATGAGTGGGTGATGCAGCAGCCCTCAGGTCAATGGGGCAGCTCTTTCTGAGCCTCACTAACCAAAAAAAAAAATTGAGTTTCTTCCTGGATTTGCCGGGATTCTTGGCCCATCCTGAGTTCCACCATCATGGCTGAAAGAGGGGCTAATGTACCATTTGTGGCTTCCTTAACCTTGGGACAGTAGCAGCTTAGCAAAGCAAATCTTCTCCAGCTGCACCAGTCTGGACACAATCCCGCTCAGCTGCTTCTTGGGCCTGCCTTGGGAATCTGGGCCAGACTGGGACAAACTGGGGATGGCCCTGGCCCAGGGAACATGCTGTTCAGGGAATGTCAGCTCCTGCCTCCCAGGGCCCTGGCGTGAGCCACAGGGAGAGTGTAGGTCAGTGGCTTTGTCCCAGCACACCTGCCCTGGAGCCAGCCTGGAGAGGGTCAGGCTGGGGAGCCCTGGGAAGCCTGAGGATGGATCTGTGCCTGGCTGCAGTGGGATTGCTGCAGAAGAACAAGCTCAACAGTGGAGGAGAACAGAGGAGAAAACCAGAGGAGTTCCCTGTCCATGAACCTGATGCCTTCTGGGACCACCACAACACCTTCACCTCCTCCTCTGCCATTTCTGGAGACACTTCCAGTGCTTGGACACTGTTGACTTTTAGTGCAGGTGAAAAACATCTTGCCTGAAGCTTTTGCCTTCACGTAAATCTGCAGCGTGGTGGTGGCTGGATGCTTCACCTGGCAGCATAAAACACTTTTCCCCCCTCAGATTTGCAGGTTTCCAAGTGCTTGGCCACCACATGTGCGGCCTTTGCTGCATCCATCCATCCATATCCGTCCCTCCCATCTTCCCCAGACCATCTGCAAGGTCATGAACCACAAGCCCACATGCTGGGGGGACAGTGGGGACAGAGTGGTCTGAACTCAGAGCCAGCCATCTGTTCCATGGAATGCCACGTGTGCTCCCTGTTTGGAAAAGGGAATGAGGCAAAACAACCCCTTGTGAGGCAATGGTTTGCAAAGTCCTGTGGAGTCAGATCCTCCTCTTCAGCCTGTCTGGCTGGGGCTGGAGGTCAGCTCTGACTAGGGAAGGAGAGCTGGGCAGACAAAAAGGGGCTCTGTTTGCCTTTCCAGTCCAGGATGAGAAGAGAAACAGCAGGAGAGAACTCCAGGCTTTATTTATGCTCATTAAGTGCCGAGGAGAAGCAACCCAGGATGGGGTTGATTCAGGTAGGCAGCACTCAGGGACAGGGAGAGGAGACTCAGATGAGCCTCAGCAAGCAGCTTGGAGTGGTTTTGGGTTTGTTTGCTTATAGTTATGGAGATTTTTTCCAACTGTTTCAGCTGTTTGCTTTGTGGTGTTTTTTACCTATGCAGGGTCGGAGTTAAAGGTGGACTTGGGGTACCAGTGGGGTATAGAGAAGGGGGAGCATTATTCCTTGGAGCCAGTATGGAGCAGGACAGGTTTGGGGACAGCAGGACTACTGCCTGGTGCAAAGAGGATGCCAGGGACATGTCATCCCAAAGGGCATTCTTCACTGGACTCAAGCACTGTGTGGATACGCCCCAATTTGCATGGAGATCCAAGACTATAGCAGGAGGATTTGGGTCTGTCCCTCCATCTTCCCAAGGAGCTGGTGTGTCACCCTGTTAAGGATTCACCACTGGACTATGTTTCCTTCCTCTCCCCTGATGGAGAAGGTGTTGGATGTAGGGGTGAGGTGAGGACTCCTCACTCCTGCGAACACCGAGTCTAAATCCCTTGATTTCTCAAACTGAGATGGAACATTTTCTTCTACCGAGTTCTTGGCAGCTTTCCTGGGAGCAGCTGGTCAGAGGCATCAGTGTCAGCCCCGTCTTTACACCAGGGACTGACATCAGGGTCAAAGCATCCCATGGTTGGTGCAATCCGGGACATTCCTGCGATGCTCAGAGCATGACGCAGCCTGGAGGTAGGGGAGAGGCAGCACCATCAGGGATTTTTCATTGATGAAAAAAACAAATCCCATCTTCTCCCTTTCCCTCCTGGGGATTTCTGACCTGTGCCTAAATGAGCCTTGGGCTTGGACTGAGCCTAACCCAGCCCTTGTCTGCAGGCTGAGCTCCTGAGAGCTTAACAAACCTGGATAAACTTTGGTGGTAAACGCAGAGGAATGGGCAACTTCCTCCTGGAGGAGTCAACTGCTGGTCCCCTGCAAAATCAAGCACCTTGTTTCAGGCAAATGAGGTTTTAGAGTGTGAGGAACCCCACGAATCTGAGCTGTCTCTCAGATTTGTACCAGGGCTGTTGCTGCTCCCACTGGAGCAACCCCATTGTCACCACAGTCACCACCAGTGTCCCTGCATATGGCAGGGGGTTGGAACTGGATGGGCTTTAAGGTCCCTTCCAAAGTGTTCCAGGATTCTATGTTATTTCAGGAGACATGTGGGACTGATCTCTCCTTTCCTGCTGGAAAGAAATGTAAAAGTTTGGAAATGTTAATTTTAAGCTCACTTTATTCCACTTCCTCACCTCCCCTCAAAGTTTTGTTTAAAGAATTTATCTGGAAATTATTTTCAAGGTCACAGTGCCTGTGAGTAATCCACCCTGGCTGGCTGGAAAACTTTGGGTGTCATTTATCATTTGATCTCTTTTTTTAAACTACAGGACAGATTATGGAAGTGCATCCAAAGCAGAGGGCTCCCTCAAAATCAATGAGTTTACACCCAGAGAGGAGGCGAGGGAGATGATAAGGGAAAGTTTAGATTTAATATTGGGAAGAAATTCTTCCCTGTTAGGGTGGGCAGGCCCTGGCACTGGGTGCCCAGGAAGCTGTGGCTGCCCCGGGATCCTTGGAAGTGTCCAAGGCCAGGCTGGACAGAGCTTGGAACAACCTGGGATAGTGGAAGGTGTCCATGCCCAAGGCAGAGGGTAGGATTGGATGAGCTTTAAGGCCCCTCCAACCCAAACCATTACAGGACTGTGTTCTCCCATCATCTCAGAGACCTTCCTGTGCCTTTTAAACTATTCTCCAAAGAGCTCTGCTCCATGTCAGCCTCAGGTAGTTTCAGAGGTGAGGGAGAAGATGGTAAAAAGACCTGCCCATGCCTTAAGCCTGTGGCAGAAATTATGATGTGCTGGAGAGACACCTGCACAGGGAACAGGACTTGTTGGGAGATGGCTGTGCCGGAATCTCAGGCACACTCCATCCTCTCTCCACCTGGGAATGGCACAAGGTGTCCATGCCCCGACTTGGCCTCCAGGCTGAAGCCTCTGCAGGTGTTAAAGACATCAACTGCCCACCCTCCTCCTGGTGTTTTTCCATCTGCCTGTGTTTAGCAGCTCATATTTCTCAAGCTGCAGGATGGGTGTGAAGAGTAACGGGGCATAGCTGGGGCACCCAGGGACCCCAGTAACCCAGCACTGGGATGGAGCTGGCTCTGGGGCTGTGCAGTGCTGGAACCTTCCAAGGTACGGGCCTGGAAGTGACAACTCCAGTGGAATTCAGGGGGAAATACACAGCAAACCCTCCAGGCTTATGTCAGTGGAGCAGCAGGAGAAATAGTGATTTCTTCCAAGGAACTTCAGTCCAAAATACTTTCTGTGCCTTTTTGCTCAAGTGCAGATTGGCATCCTCCAGGGAAAGTGGCTTTCCTCCCCAAACCCACAGAGGTTTCACAGGGAAGGGAGGGGGTGGGGGACAGCCAGGTTTTGGGGGTGTTTGTAAAGGGGCAAACATCCCATTGTGCTTCACTAAGGGTTGGGCATATGCTTAAATCCAGGTGACTTCCATCTCCTGCTGTGCCCGTTCCCTGCAGGTGAAGGTTCATTGTACCAATGAATCCTTTGGAAAACCTGTTGGGATTATGTAATAGAATCCCAGAATGGATTGATGTTGGAGTTCTGGACGCTGAGAATTTTAGATTTTCTCTACAGACAGACTCTGACCCCCAGAAGAGCACTGCACTTGACCTGAGGTTGTGGAGAAAGCTTCCAAAATTGATTGATAGCACTGGGATTATGGGTGTATAGTTGGTTAGAAGTGTGTAATATCACAGGGTGGAAAACTTAGAGACTGGGGTTTTAGAATGTAGTAATAAATATGAAGGAAGATGGAGGTTTTAGGGCAGAGGCAGGTTGTTCTTCTTTACCTTCTTCCTTCTTCTTCTCCTTCTCCTTCCTTCTTCTTCATGGGTTTGGGGGGGATTTTGTAATTGGACAGAAAAGTCTCCACTGTGGACTTCGAGTGATCAGTTATTGGGTTAAAAGTGAAAATAATTTAGGTGTCATTTCTTAATTGGATAGTTTAGCCTTAAAAGACCTTGTAACAAGAGATAGCCATTTTTGTGGCTGGTTAATGAAAGACTGCAAAACTCACTGCTGTGAGACTGTAACATAGATGAGAAATAATAAACACCTGACTATCGTCTTGAGTGCCTTCAATCCTGACCCCGACAGAGGTAGAAAAATGAAGTCAAAACCCAGCAGTTTGGGTTGGAAGGGACCTCAAAGCTCATCTTGTTCCGTGATTTCCTACTAGACCAGGTTGCCCCAAGCCCTGTCCAACCTGGCTGGAACACTTCCAGAGGTGGAGAAGACAGCAGGATGCAATGGCAATAATCAATATATATTCCCCGTGAGGGCTTCCAAAAGCTATCAGTGCACTCCAGCTTTCCAAGGGTGTTTTCCAGCCCTCCAGAGGGAAGCTGGAGCAGACACAAGGGCTGTGAAAACCCAGCTCTAGAAAGCTCATTGTGCTTCAACCGGACAAAGCAAAACTTAATTCGGGCCAGCTGGAAGAGTTTTATCCTCTGCAAAAGCTCCTCTCATGCAAAACAGATCTTTCATCAGGATGGGAAGACCATCAGGAATTTTAGAAGCGAGGTGGATGCTGTCATCTGAAATGTGCTCTTCAAAAAACCCAAAATGCCCCTTTGGGGTTTTTAAGTGATGCAGTCACTTATTCATTTGGATGTCAACAGAACACTTTTTTTATAGAGAGCTGCTCTAGGAATGGAGCTTTTCCAGGCGTGGTGGGGTGATGGATGGATGTTTTGTATGAAAATCACTGAAAATTTGGAGATAAATTTAAATTGGAGACCTCAAGTGCTGGCACAGCAGTTGATCAATTCACCCTTGTGCTTTCAACCCAACAACCTCCAGTAACCTAATTAAGATAAATTTTAAACATATATTGGATATATTTTATATGTATATTGCTGGTTCTATGTAATTTAACAAATATATTCCTCCTGCTCCTTTGCCTTCCTTCCCACAGACGACATTTTAACAGCTTGAGTGATGTTGCTTTTATGATGCACAAGTCATTTTTCTAAACAGCAGGATAAAAGTTTGCTCAGGCAGGAATTTCATTAACTTTGGGGTCCTTGTTGCACTTAGCTGTATCGGGCTTGGCATGTGGGAATAATGGGTTCCAGGGCCTGGAACTTCCATTATTTTCTATCCAGTTTATTTAAAAATCGTTGGATGGATTATAAAAGGCCACAAAACAATGAAAGTACTGTTGTTTCGTATTGTTTGCTGCTGCATCCATATGTTTGGTGTTCCAGGGTTCCCTGGGAGACCTTTGGGGTGCCACAGAGGGAAATGCATCTCGTAAAACCATTCCTAAATCTTGCTTTGTCCTCATAAAAGAAAATTACGAGCCTTTGTGGATGGGATGAGACAGTGGGAAGTTTCTGACGGAGCTGATGGTGTTGGTGAGGATTTTTGTCTGCAGAGCTCTGTGCAAACCACGAGCATTTGCCGGGGGGGGGGGGGGGGGGGGGAGATGGGTGGGAGGGGGGTGAAGGGTGTGCGGAAACTGAGGCACAGCACAGCTGGTGTCCTGCTGTGCCAAACCAACCCAAACATGGGCTCAACACTTTTTTTCCAACCCCAAGCCAATGTTTTCCATGTGTCTTCACCCAGATCCCTCCTGAGGGATGCCCATTACTGAAAGATACCTGCACCTCTTTGCCCCCAGCTCTGCACACCACATGGGAAGAAGATGATGGGGGACCAGTGGTTGGCTCTGTGCCTCCCATGGGAAGTTCCTTAAAAAAAGCCCCCCTAGATCAGATTTGCTCCCAGCCCATATTTATAGGGAAAGAAGCACAGGACCTTCAAAGGCTGCATTGCCAGAGCCCTCTTGCTGGCTCTGCTCTGTGTAGTGAGATCCCAGCCTTTTTAGGGATCCCTGTTTAGTGTAAATTGGACCAGGCTCCAAAAAAATAGCCTTGTTCTATGGTTTCCAGCATTCCTGAGTAGGGGAATGCCTAGTACTGTAAATAACTGGCTAATAAAAGCACAGTGTTCTTACAGAATAAACAGCTCTGCTGCTTAAATTAAATAGGGATGTGAAATATGGAAGTGCTGGGTGCATCCCAAAATATCCCCCTGGAGAGGAGCTCCCAGAGGGGACCTTCTAAGCAGTGGGGCTGCTGTGTCCCCCTCCCTCAGCCCTCTGGGAAGGATGGAAGCGCTTACAAGGCAGTCTCAGCTCAGCTTTTGATGAAAAAATCCCCATTCAGAGCATTGCAGTGCTGGGAACTGCAAAGGAAAGGGTGTGAAGAGGGAGGAGAGTGGGATGGGGAGTCATCCTTAAATGTGGACAGTGTGTACGCGCGATCCTAATTGCCTGGCGAGCTTTTACTCCGTGTTCCAGGGATTCTTTTCCAGCTGGCTCTGCCCAGAGTTATCCTTTCTGGGAACAGGCAGATGTGCAAGGGGAATTACTCACAGTGCCCCGTGCCCAGCTGTCTGTGAGGTGTCCTGCACCCACAGCAGGCTCACGTCTGTCTGATGATGAGAAACCCACCCTTGGAGCTTTGTTTAATGTCCTTCTAAATCCCTTTGCTCCTCATCCTCATCTTAGTCCATCGATGCATCTGATGGTGCTCAGACCATGTACGAACTGTTCAGAATGGAGATTATTAAATTGATTGTTGATTATCAAAATTATGTCACATTCAATGCCACAAAACCCTGGAAAAAAACTGAGATCTGGAGAAAATGTCCCAGTCCCACAGTCACAGCAACTTCATAGAATTCCAGACTGGTTTAGATTGGAAGGCACCTTAATGATCACCCAGGGCCACCCCTGCCATGGGCAGGGACACCTTCCACTAGCCCAGGTTGCTCCAAGCCCCAATGTCCAGCCTGATCTTGGACACTGCCAGGGATCCAGGAGCAGCCACAGCTTCTCTGGGAATACCATGCCAGGGCCTCCCCACCCTCACAAGGAACAATTCCTTCCCAATATCCCACCTAACCCTGCTTTCAGGCAGTGGGAAGCCATTCCCCCTTGCCCTGGCACTCCATGCTTGTAGAACCACATCCTGGCTCTGCCAGAGGCTCTGCTGAGCTCATGGACTCTGTGTCTGTACCTTTTCCTTTTGCTCTCCTTCATCTTTTCTTTCCTGAGAAAACATCATTTTCCACAAAATCATGGTCTCACCCAGGGCCAACTGGCTATCCCATCTTTCCCAGGAGAAATAATTAAGGAATGAAACCTGATTGTGCCAGAGATAAAGGTACATCCGATACATTTCTAGCTTTGAGAGGCAGATTTGCACTTGCCTGAGATATTGCAAAAGATATTTCTGCAAACAAGGAAAAATTCCCAGCTCAGCACACAAAACACAGCCCCAAAGAGCTGAGCAGGTCAGAAGGATTTTTGTTTCACACCCCATCCCTCTTAACAGGCAAAGATCTGCTGTGGTTGATGGAAAAGTCACTCTTCAGCTAAACAAAGCCACCTCCAGAGTGAGTTTTCACTCCCTGAGATACAAAATTCTTGTAAAAATGGATGAAGTTTGTTATGAATCCGAAACTTCTCTAATGAAAAACTTTTGCTCTCCTCCCACAGCCAGCGAGGACCATCGCCCCAGGCAAGGGAGGATGGCTGGGATGTGTCAGGAAGAGGTCCCACCCTTCTGCACCCAGGAGCCCAGTGAAAATCCTGTTGGATCATGGTGAAAAACATGTTTTTTCCCATTCGTAGAAGATGTCTTTGCCTTTTTTCCTTGGATTTCCTTTCTTCTGGGTTTTTTTCCATGGAAATAAAAGTGCAGGGAGGGGAATGGATTTGAGGGTCTTACCTGGGAAATGATGTCTGGAATAAATTTTGGAGACCAAACTGAGCCATGAGAGAGGGTGGAGGGGAGCTTCGAGATCCTGGTGGCCACAGCCCTTCCCCTGGCACTTGTTTGATCCCCATCCCAACCTTCCCCTGGAGGTGACAGGCCCCCACCAGCAAGGGAACAGGGTAGGACCCTCTCATGACCAGCACAGTCTGGAACAGCAGGAATAACAGGACCTCCCACCAAGCACAACCAGGCTGGAAGAGAAGCTCCTGCAAAATTTTGGTCCTCAAGGGGTGTGGGATCTCTGACATTGCCTTGGGGAGTGGGGCACTGGGAACATCCTCTCCTCCCAACTTAGGAAGCCACCAAGCAATGGGAAGTGACCTCTCCATCCCAAGAGCTCTGATAGCCTGGGGTGTGCCTGCCTGTGCCATGAAATATTTATTCTGTGTGGCACCCTTGATTGCTTTTCCAACTTGTTTCTCCCCCCACATTCCTTGTTTTATATCCACTTCTCTTCCTTTTCAGACCCGCCTTATTCCGGGAATTATGGGAAAAGTGTGGCAAAAATCCGGAAGGGGTTTTAAACTTTGTTTTAAGAAGTACTTCCCCTCTTGCCATCATGCTGACAAAGACCCTTTTAGGATTCTGTGAAAATTTATAGCAAACTGTGGCGTGCAGCATCACACTGGCTTCTTCCAAATTCCAAGGGATGCAGGATCTGGTCTAAGGATTCCTACAGCCTAACTGCTGGGAGTTATTCTGGAATTTTCTGGCTTACACCCTGCAGATTTGAGCCAATCCTTGGAAATCAAAAAGAAAACAAGCAACACATTTCCTCTTCCAGTGTCACCAAAGTATCTACTCAGAAGGAGCTTCACAGAATCATTTAGGCTGCAAAAGTCCAACCTGTGCCCAGTCCCCACCTTGTCACCGAGCCCAGAGCACTGAGTGCCACATCCAGGTCTTCCTTGGACACCTCCAGGGATGGGCACACCAACACCTCCCTGGACAGTCTCTTCCGATGCCAGACCACCCTTTCCATGGAGAAATTCCTCCTGCTGTCCAGCCTGAACCTCCTCTGGAACAGCTTGAGGCCCTTTCCCGTTGTCTTGTGTCACTGGTTACCTGGAGAAGAGGCCATCCCCACCTGGCTACAATCCTCAGCTTCTTCCGAGCCAGGATCCTTGTGTGCGATGCAGAGACCTCATCTCACGCAGAACTGCGAGTGTCCCCTCTCTGGAGCGCCCAGGGCCACGCTCAGGGGGTCCCGCGCTGCATCCCGGCGGCACAGCTGGATGGAGAGCCCAGCTGTTGGCAGGCAGGGCTGGCGGAACAAAGAGTCCTTTGCGAGTGGGGACTTTGGAGTGATGGAGAGCAAAGCCCGGCAGCTCCCCGCAAGCGTCGGGGCCGTGAAATCCGATTCGTGCCCCTGGGCGGCAGCGCTGGGGAAGGCAGCGGGAAGGGAGCCCGGCGGCAGGGTCGGGAGCGCGCTGGGGCGGCGGGGAGGGACAGGTGGCCGCGGGCTGAGAAGAAGGACCGTAACGAGGCGCCGCGGACACAAGATCCTCTTTGTTCGGGTGTTACTGGAGTAGAAGAGTGGCTGCGGGAAAGGTCTCGGCGCAGCTGCCTGAACTCCTTCCCTCCCGGAGATCAAAGCCCGCCTTTCTAATTGCGGCTTTTATTGCGCTCGCCCGAACACTCGCCCGCTGCCCCGGTGGCTTTGGCGGGGGACAGGTGTTTTTTAACACGCGTGCCATCACGGGGGATTAGCGGATTCAAAAGCGTGCCCCGGGAGACGCGGCGGAGCATCGCGCTGCTGTTAAAAGGAGGGATGCTGAGCCGCGCAGGGAGGTTTCTGCAGGAGCGTCTGCCTCCCTGGCACAGGAGAAGGAAAGGAGGAAGCCCCTGGGTTCACAAAGTGAGCCCTGTCCATCCCATCCTGGTGAAAGGGCATGGCTGGAGAGGGGTTCCTGCACAGGGATGCTCCATCCTGCAAATGCCCCAGCTGGACCAGGGATCACTCGCTCCATCCCCCAGATGCTCCCTGACTGCACTAGGGACCCTCCCCAATTCATAGCCTCCAACATCCCTGTTGGACCAGGGACCCACCTGCTCCATTCCTCAAATGCCTCAGTTGGAGCAGGGATCCTCCATCCCCCAATCACCCCGTGCTTGACCTGGGATTGTCCCACTCCATATCTGAAAATATCCCATGCTGCATGCTTGATCCCACCCTACAACAGACCAGGAATCCCCACGCTCTCTTTATCCCCTGGAATTTGAGGGCTTTCAGAGATTTCCAAGCGAGGGAACTGTGTGATGGGGGAACAGTCAAGAGAAGAGCTGTTACACTGCTCAAAGGTACCACAGCTCCTTTCCACAGAGGATTAAAATATGTGGAGAGCAAGAACTGCTGGCCCAGGAGCCAGGGAGGGGACAGAAACTTGGCTGAGGATCCCGGAGAACAAAGCAAAAACAGGAAAATGCACAGACGAGCCTGGAAAGTCATAAAAACAAAGTTTAGGTTAAATACACAGAGGGTCTCTTATCCCCTTGGCAGGTTAAGAAAGGGCAACCTTTGCCTCCAGAGCCTCTGGCAGAACCAGCTCCTGGTTACCCACAGGGAAGGCAAGAGGAGGAGGATGGAGGTGTCCAGGGTGGACAGAAAGGAGCTCAGTCACCCCCAAATCTCAGCTCTGGGGGAGGTTTGCTCCAGGGCAGCAGCAGAAGAACGCAGAGCCCCATGGGCAAGGAGAGAAGGGTGGAAAACCCTCGTGCTGCTCTGGTCACTTCTTGGCCTCCTACACATCCTCCAAGCTCCCTCAGCCTCTCTGATTTAGGGTTCTTTTTGCCTTTACTTAATAGAATCACAGAATTATAGGATGGTTTGGAAGGGACCTTCAAACCCATCCAGTTCCACCCCCTGCCATGGGCAGGGACACATTCCACTATCCCAGGTTGCTCCAAGCCCCATCCAAATCTGACCTGGAACACTTCCAGGGATCCAGGGGCAGCCGCAGCTTCTCTGGGCACCCTGTGCCAGACATTTATACCACCACACTGGAGTATAAACCTCTAGAACTGAGACCTTGCATGTGAACTGAAAAATCAGGGATGAGGACAGCAAAAACAAAAAAAAAGGGAAAACGTAATATCCCAAATATCCCAGATAGCTTATTGTTTATCGGAGTTGAAACCAACGCCCCTGTGGAAATGCAATAGATTTCAAAGCTTGTTTGGGGGAAAAAGCAATGATAACTTCCCATCAGCCGCTCACTGCTTCCTTTCTTGGGCGCAGCTCCCAAAACTGATGCGTTTTCCCCTTTGATGTCATGGAAGGAAATAACCTTCCATGTTTGGACACAGCTTTTGCTCAGATCAGCCCAGCTAATGCCAATCAGGCTGTTGAGGGAATGGGAAGGGTGTGGGGAGGTTCAGCTTGACCCTTTAGCACCGTTTTCTTTAGCTTTCACATTAAATTGCTGTCCTATTGTTCCATATCGCCCGTTGCATCTTAATTTCCCCATCACGGGTCTTTTGTTCCCCTACAAAGCTTTGGAAGCAGATGAGAAAGGGAAACCACTTGCAATCATCTTTCCAGAGGGTACCTCCAGATCACAGGCAGCAGCACATGGAAACAACTGGGAAAATGAAGCCCTGTCACGAAATCTCTATTAATTTTTCTTGGAAATGCCTTGGTATTGCTTTGAAAGCTACTTGGGACTGTCCAGGATGACAGAACTGGGATCTATTTCCTTCCCCGCTTTAAAATTCATGCAAGGCACAAAAGAGTTGCTGAGATCTTCCTGCCATCATCACCAGGAGCTGAACAAAAATCACATTAAACTTACTTTACACTTCTGCAGCAGCAGCAGCTGGCGGCCAGTGTCTTAAGTGCTTTTTGAGCCCGTGGGCCAAAGAAAAATCAGGATGCTGTCAAGTCAAGGAGCCTTCCTGTTAATTTAACGTGGTTAGCTTTGCCAGTGGGATAGATTTTCCAACGTGCTCAGCTGTTTTATGAGCCTGGCCTCTTCTTTTGGTGTCTGAATTGAGGAGAAACTCCTGAGTGAAATAAATGGCCCAGTGGTTTTCTGGGATGCTGGCTCAGGCAGTCTCCATCACTGTCCAGAGGTCCTGGATGATGCCACCATACTGAGGCCAGGCTCCAGACAACCCCAGGAACATCTTCCAAACATCCCGGATTTATAACAACCCTGAAAAGACAATAAATCTGCTGTACTTTTTCTTGGTGACCCAAAATGAAGTGCATTCCCTTCTGGCATGTTTCCTCCCTGAAAATGTTACCACAGCTTTGTAAAAGGGGGGAAAAGAGAGAGGGGAGGATGCTTGCAAAAGGGTAGGTTCTGGCTAATGCCATGCCAAGGAATTGCTTCCAGAGAGGGGCTGGTGCATTTGGGAGGCTCGGCTTAGCACAGCGGGAAGCAACATTTCCTCTGTTGTTCCAAAAGAAAAATGAAAAGCAAAACGAAATATTTAAGGGAAAAAAAAAAAAAAAAAAAAGAAGCCAATTTCCCCCCAAATAGCAATAGAAAGAGTCTCGGGTGGAAAGGACAGCAGATGTGTGGATGCCCATCTTCCTCAGATTTTTAGGCAGTTTCTCTTGCAGCTAGTGCCCTCTTGAGGAATCCTCTCCTCTATTCCATTTTTACAGGGTTTCCCCCCCCCCGGATGAAATGATCTCTCGGCCGGGAGCAGGAGCACAGTCAGTGCTGCGATTCTGCCCAGGCCCAACACAGCCAGCGGTGCCGGGGATCGGCTCATGTCTTCCCACCTGGAGCCACCAGGATAGCATCGGGATGTGGGATGGCATCCCCCAAGAGAGGAATCCTTCCAAACTCAACGTGTTCCCGGTGGCAATCCGGGATGCTCTGACCTCAGCCCCGAGGGAAGGTCCCCCACCGGCACCATCACAAGCTGCCGCCCGCTTTGCTCCCCTCCTCGCCTCCCGAAAACACGAGATAATTGGGAATGGGAGCA